GGTCTCCAGGCTGGTCTGTGAGTGTACAGAGACTCCAGCTGCTTCTCTCGGGCTGGAGGCTGTCCCCCTGTACCCTCGCCCCCATGCAGCCCCCAGACCCCAGCTGCCCCCAGATCTGCCCCTGGAGGGCCTGGCTCAGGGTACCCCACTGCCTGCTTCTGCACCCCGAGTTCCTCCAGTCCTACCGCTTACAGGGCAGGCACCGGGACTGCAATCATCACCAAATGCTGCCTTTTTTTTTTTTTTTCCTTTTCAGTATGACTGTGCTGCTTTTTTTCCTTAATAGCCACCCATTGCAAACGAGTCCTCTGTTGTTGTTGTTGTTTTTAGGCTTGAGATTTACTTTGGTTGTGAAAATATTTTTTTTTCCAAAGACATTATTTAACCCAAAACGTTGCATCACTCTGAAGTAAAATTATTTTTTCAGTGTTTGCTTTGGATTAATAACCCAGCGCTTGCATTCCTTCAAGAGCTTACATGTCTTTTGTAACCATCAGAAGTTGTACTCGCAGCAGCAGGATTACTCCGTGGCTGTCCAGGCTCCCTGTCCGGACTTCACTGAAGTCCATGAAACAGCTCGTGGGCATTTCTCTGGATGTCAGATCAGTTCCCAGGACTGATTAACTTTCAGAGCAGAGAGCGTGAAGGAAATTTTTTTTAATATTTGAGAATTTCAAGTTCCTGTTAAGTAGATATATTTCCAACAATGGAGGACCAGTTTATGTAAGGCCGTTATTAGAGTTGTGGTGACACCTTTAAAGCATAATTAATCCATTAAATAAAGTAATTGTGAAGCACTGAATAATAATAGATAAGGACAAAGCAGACTGAAAAAGTAAAAATGGATTAGAACTAGAAAATGTTACCTTATTAACTACTGCAGTGCCTTTCTGCTTAAACCACTTTGATGCATTTTTGGCTTCTGGTGAACAGGCAAATCTCAAGACGAGAGCTGACCCAGGTGTTCCCATCCCCATCCTCTGAGCCTCAAAGGTGCTCTTCCTTTGCACTTTAAGGACTTGATTCAAACCTTCCTCACTTCAGCAGTGGTTCACGTGCCGACTTCAGTTGCCTTTGGAGCTGGCATTTCACCTGGGACTTTTTCCTCGAGCTGAATTTTCCACCAAACTGTGTTTAAATGGGATGCTGAAGAGGAATGTCCTTCACATTGTGTCCTGTGAGGCTTAGGAATAGCAGTATGAATTACACGTTGCAGATCAGGTGTGGGCAGGAGCATTTGGGTTGACTATTTTCAAAACTTGCCCTGCATTTTTGGAAAGGGAGCCTTAAAAGTTCTGCCAGATGTGTAAATGTGTGTGTGAGTTCCAAAAAGAAATCGTTCAGCACAGTGTTTTAGATACCCTTGCTTGCTAGGACATACTCGGACCTGTTTGGTGGCTGAGTGGTACTTTGCTCCAGGACCAGTTCCACCGAGGTGGACGGGGGTTTCAGGTATAAACAGAGAAAAAAAGGGAGTGGGGAGCTGATGGGTGAGGAATAGCAGAGCCTGGGACTCCAGTGGCATGCAGGGGGCAGCCAAAAATCACGGGACCTGCAGGTTTTTTGTGACTAGGGCAAAATTAGACCATTAGAGTGCTTTTTTTTTTTGAGAGAGAGAAGTTAGAAAGCAAACATTATCTACCTGGCAGGCTGTAAGTGGTAGTTTTATGGCCACATCAGTCTTATAAGTAAATGCTCTGTGTGTTTGGGCTCACCTGTGGCACAGAGCTGTCTGCTTCGTTAAATGTGCGCTTAGGAGGAGAGCTAGCTGTTGGAGTTACACACGCTATTTAGTGGCTTGACCCTAATGCAACAGCTTTTTCCTAAATTACTGGCTGATGTGTAAATACATATTTTGAGCTGGCTTCTGCTGGTTGAACTAGCAGAATATTTACCGCGTAGAGTACGGTCTAATGGCATTTATCATGTAAATCCCAAGGTAGGATCTGTAAGCTTTTTTATCTCGAGCGGATGTGTGTTCTGACACGCAGTCTTCCCCGGAGCCGTTATCATCTTTTATGTACATTTTTACAAGTTGCCTGTTTATGTTCTGCTGACCAGTGCCTTTGGTCTGTCACTCCTGCTGTCAGACATTAAGAGAGCGGTGCGTTAATTAAGCTTACCTTTGGCGTGTAATCAGAACCTTTAACTAATGGTATTTCTCAGCGGAGAAAAGAGACTGGGTTTTGCATTAAATTCATATAGTAAGAAGTCTGATAAGCTTTTGGTTAAAAAATAGGCAAAAGATGTGCGGTAACCTGTTTCCAAACCCTAACACGTCAATTGCTCTTCATGCTTTCTGTTTTTTTAAAACATACCCAATCGTTTACATTTTGATTTGTGCTTATCTAAGCTGTATTGGGTAAGTGGCTGAAATATTTCCAACCCTTCTTGCAGGGGGAATGCTACCACAGTGGCATTTTCTTGGATGTGGACACTTCGGCAAAACTTCTTCTATTACACATTTAAGATCTCTTTTAGTTACATGTAATTCTAGATAACAACCACAGAATCCATTTTTAAACTTCTATTTTAGCTCCTTCCGCTCGGACTTCTCTAATAAAACTATCATACAGTCTTGCATTTGCAAAGGCACTCGACCATAAGATATTATCATAAGAAACTAGAAGGAATAGTTACTTAAGTGTCTTTAAATGAATGGATAATTTCCTATCTTAGCTTCTCCGTAAGACAGGATTCCTGACTGCTTGGTGCTCTTGGTCCTTGCAACTGCCTGAGTTTGCTCGAGCTCCAACCTGGGAAAGCAGAGTGGCACGTGCCATGGTCCATCAGTGCTCAGAAGTTGGGACTGTAAATCACTGACAGTCCTGGATTTGGCCCTGAGCAGCCCCCTGTGTGGTCGTGGCTTTACACATCCTGGGCTCAACGCTGAAAGGTGCCAGGAGCCTGTACATTCAGATCCATGGGAGAGAGAAGTATTGTGAATCAGCCTTAAATCTTGTTATTCAGCCTTAATGAACCACGATAACTTGTGGGGTGTCAGAGGCAGCTCTGATCCATCCTATTTCTGGAATATATTTATTATTCATTTCCTTTGCCTAATGCTGTATTGAACTCCAGGCCTGTGACCGAGACCAGCAGTGCGGAGGAGGGATGTGCTGTGCGGTTAGCCTCTGGATCCGCAGCCTGCGAATGTGCACGCCGATGGGAAATTTGGGAGAAGACTGCCATCCTTTGAGTCACCGAGTGAGTACGTCACCGGGGGGGCTGTGGGACCCGAGCTGGCAGGGCAGAAAGAAACAGGAATATACTGCGCTGTACGTCACATCGCATAAAAACTATACGTGGGGAAAGGGCAGGGAAACATCCCATGCGTTACAATACCCAGTCATTTGCATCTGTATGGAAATAGCGCTGAAGGTACCTACGTAAGGAAATACATTACTGTCAGAATTATGCTGAAGAGAATCCGAGGATGAAAGCACTACACGCTTTCCAGATTGTTTTCTTATTAGTTTCTTGTTGCCGTTTTGCTTCATTACATGATCCGAAACAGCTTTAGCAGTTCCCAAGCCCAACCCTGCCAATGCCTACACGTGTGAGCAGGAGCGTAGCAAATGTCACCGACCTCAGTGGAACTGGACAAGATCCCATCACAAGCATAAAAATGTCACCAGCCGGTGTTGGGACACGTGGTGCATCACTGCAGCACGGTCCCTGCCATCAAACAGCAGTGTCCCCTTGCGCTCCAGAGGCTGAAAGCCACTGGTGCCTTCAAAAGCCACTGAAAAGGTGCTGACACACACTTGGACTTGAGAAAACTCACCACGGGCTCTTTTCGCTTCTCTTCTACCTGCTAACTTCAAATATATATATATGCATACATATATGTACACAGACATATATAACACTAGTTACATATTAGTACATTATTATACGATACACTAAATCAGTGATATAATGATATTAACAAATACATTTATCTAAGGCTATAATTATTTATATTATTTGTACTATGAAAAAAGGCTGTTTATTTATAAGTAACACAAAAACCTGAATGGGATGTTACTCAGGAGCTTGAGAACCTGGTGATCTTCAGAGCCATCCTCAGGGAAGAGTATGGCCCAGGAGTCATCACATGTGAAAGATATCAAGGCAATAAATTTAGATTATAAATATGCAGCTAGTTAGCTGCCTCTCTCGCTGTCTCATCCAATGCCTGGCTTCTCAGCTCAGTATCTATGGTTTATTTTCCCAGTTTTAGGAAGTTCAAGGCGCCGTTCCATTACAGTTGAAGTTTTAAATCTTCTGCTGTGATATTTGGGACCAAATTCTCATTTCTATTATGTAATGTAGCAGGTTTTTCTTGTAAGGTCTCTTTACATTAACAGGAGTCTCAGGATAAGAGAACTTGTCTTCTAGGAGTTTTTTTATGAGCTTATTGCTATTGGGCAATAATTTATACTGTCTGATATATTTTAAGCTAATTGCCTGTATAATTACAAGCAGAGAAGAAGCCTGTCCACCCCAGACTTACAGTCATAGTCACTGATGTTTATAAGCTTTATGAGGTTAATTTTAGATTTAGATTCCTCACCCCACTGCTCTTCATGACAAACACAAGGCAAGTTGATTTACTGTAGTATGTGAAATCAGGTGTTTTTAAGGATGGAGAGTCTGCTCAACAGTTCCTCTCCCCTAAATATTTGGGTAGGGGGTAGCTGGGAGCCCAATTGCTCTGAGCACCAAAACTTTTCATTTGCGGGCAGGTGAGGTACAAAGCAGGCACCACCGTGACCGTGCCACCACCTCGGGGACCTCCAGAGGGACCTGGAGATACCCTGGAGGAGATGGTTGGCAGTTGAATTTCCACCTTCTAGTTACCTTCTCAGCAATGAGCTGGCATTGGTGTGGTGCCGTTAACCATCTCAGCTGGCATTGCAGAGGCACGGTTTGCAGGCAGGGCCAGGCAGGTGAGGTTTGGCAAGTCAGCAGGCAGAGCTGGCAGTGCAGCGGTGGCTTTGCTGCGGCTGTGCACCTTGCACATAACCCCCACATCTCTCCTGGGACCTCCCTTGTTTCCTTTTCACCTACAAACTCCCATTGCCTTGTGCTTATTAAAACTCAGTGATGGGCACACGACGTGGCAAAGCATGCAGTGGCTCAGCCGGCATCACCAGCACCGGCTCCGGGCATGTGGGCTCTGCCTGCTCCGGCAGAAGCTGCACACCGCGGCAAAGCACCCATCCTGCGGAGCTGTCACTCGCTGCCTATCCCCAGCCTGGTGTGTTATTAAGCCACGTCTTCAGCGTGGGAGTCCCGCTGAAAGGAACGTTTCCTTGCCGTGAATGTAACGTTTTGAATAAATCACTTGAGCTGTCAGAGGGCTGAGAGGTAACTCTGAGTCAGCTTTACCAGCCCAAGGAGCTCAGATTTTAGTTTTTTCAGCGGTGCTATGCGTGGGCACCTGAGAAGTGTGATTCCCACGGGGAGTCCCCGGCACCTGTGGTCGATGGCCTCTCCACTCACACCCAGGCAGAGGGGCTGTGGGGGATGGCATGGGGAAGCCCACGGTGCTCTTCAGGTGGTGCTGGGCAGGGGGCTGGCGCTGGCCCAGGGCACTGCAGGCGATGTGGGCCCCGCACTCGCCCCCCGCACCTGGCGGGGTGTCACTGGAGTCAGGCAGGTCCTTGGCGTGATGCACGGGAGAACGTGTAGGACTTTCTCCCGTCAATCTTCTTAAAGAGAAAATTTGCACATCAACACAAAACAAGCTTGGAATATTAAAATCGCAGGCTCAAAACACCCAGAAATCTGGAAATGGGGGAATGAGGGCTGGCAGCGGTGGCTTTGTACCTCTGTGCTTCCCTGGCTGCATCCTGCTGGATGCTCAGCATGTTCTGCCGGGTGGCAGCACCGCAGCTCCCAGCCACGCTGTCCCACCAGGCTGTACGGCTCGGCTCGGCTCATGTGCTGGCAGAGGCATGGCTCCTGTGAAAGACAGAGCTTGTAATCAAATTGTTAAAGAGTGTCAGTGTGTGTGCACGTCGTGGTGCAATTAAATTTGTTTAATGCAGTCCACATTGTGAGCTCCCTGCAATACAGGATGGCTGGAGGAGGGTGGGATGAAATGAGAAACCTCTGCCCTGTGGCGAAAAGGAGCCTGCTGGAAGGGAGGTCAGGCGAGACGACCTCCAGAGATCCCTCCTAGCCTGAATTACCAGGGGATCCTGTGCTTCCCGGGTCCGGCTACGTGGCTGACAGGCTGCTCTGTGCCGTACGACAATGCAGGAATCGGGGCAAGCAGAAACCCTCGCACAGTAAACACCCCAAAACGTGATGCTAAAGGCAGGTGTTGTTTCACAAGACTCCTTTATGAAATAGGAGTAAATGGAGAACACGTGTCTCAGATGTAGATTTACACAGCAACACGGACCATTACATTTTGCGCTTAACTGTGCCTTGACTGAGAAATGCAATGGGGTTGGCTTTGCCATCTGCTCTCCAGCCCCCGTGCCGCAGCTCGTGGGGATCTCCTGCCGTGGAGGGAGGTGGGCGGCATTCCCCGTATCCCCACTATTCGTCCGAATCCATCCTCCCCAAGCATCACCGCCGCTGTGCTCCCTGTCCCTGACATCTGTGCTCTTTGTCCCCAGGTTCCCTTCTCCGGGCGGCGGATGCACCACACCTGCCCGTGTCTCCCCAGCCTGGCCTGCATACGGACTTCTCCCAGCAAATTCAAATGCTTACCGGATTTCAGAAAAGAAGATGTCTTTTTTTAGCAGGAACTATTCTGCGCTAGAAAGAGCCACTCGATGTATTCTTTTTCTTGTTATTGTGATGAACAAGGTACTTGCCAGGGGAAACCCTTTACCATACTTTCCTGCCTCACCAACATTAAAACTGAAGATGAGATGATACTGTGCTGTAGTGGCCAGGGTTTTCAGGAGGGACTCGCAGTGGGGAATGCTTTCATTTTTGGGGTGAGCAAAATGACATCTGCTAAAGCAATACTGCTTTCTGAGGGTGGGAGCTTAATGATTTCTGAACCGTCTCGTGGTCTTCATGGTTCCAGCTTAACCCCAAAATGAAAACAGCCAAGATTATTGTCAGTTTTGGAAAATTTTGGCCGCGTCTTTACACTTGGGAATGCCTGAATCGAACTGAGAGTTGACTAATTGCATAGTGTGAAGCACGTGACAATTGCCAAAACCCTGTATTTACATTACATTTCATATCTTTATTAATAGAACTGTATTTGTAAGTTAGGCGCATCTCTAGGGTAAAAGTTTAACCAATAGATGTAGTTTTTACACTTTTTAAAAGTGGCAGGTGGAACCAAAGCATTTCAATATTCAAAGCATTAAAAGATTTTGTTATTTTAGTATTCTAAGATGAGAAGAAGTTGTTGTTACTTGAGTTGGTGTAAAACTACCTGATCATCTCAAACTATGTATTAAGATGTAGTTTATATTAAAAAAAGGAACCCTGAAGTTTATTGTAATGGGCTGCCTGACTTCTTGTATATGTATCAAATTTGCTGTGTAAAAATTCTGTATCAGAATAATGGCAGTATATGATTTGATTTATTTTAATATTATAACATTATTTTGTCATTGTGGTTTTCCATTTTTATTCAGTGTAATCTGTTATCACATACTCAATTCACCCAAGCTAGCAGAGCTCCTTACGGATAGTTTAGCAAAAGATTATATGCCTCTGGCTGGTCGTAGGGAAACACAGCAGATTACAAGGCATGAACTCCTCAACCGAGCTGCAGTCTTAGACGATGAAGGAATCTTGGTGTAGCTAATACGAGAGGTTTTTCTTGGCACATGCCTCAAAGGATCAACTTTAGCCCAGCAAATATAAAATTTGTGGGTTTTCTATGAAACACTGTGCAACTTCATATTTACTTGTGAGTCCCTGGAGCTGGAATTCCAATAGTTTGTGTGAGTTTCACACGTTTCTTGCTCTCAGACATGCAAACATATGCTGGAACTGGAAAAGTGAAGTCATTCATCTTTCAACAATCAGTGCTTTGCTGCTGATGATGATGGGGGTGTCGAGAGAAGTTAGCATGCTTGTATTAGGGCAAACACCTGTATTAGAGAAGATGAGAAATGTCCCAACGAGTTTATCGGGTACCTTCCACTGGGCTCCACAGTCTCCCTGAGGAGACAGAAAGGAACAACTGGACTTGTTATTTTGCCAGATCCTTGTGCACCCTGCACACGTTAGAAAAACAAATGTCTTGAGAGATAGGATTGCATCTGCCTGGCTCAAGACAGCCCAACCCCAGGGCTCCCACTCCAGAGCCTATATATTTTGCTTCACCCTTCGCAGTGGCAATACAGCAGCTGTGCAAGTGGCAAGAGACACAGGTCCTATAGGAAAAAAAAAAAAAGAAAGTCTGAGGTGCTATCAAATAGTAATTTTATATGCGATGTGCATTAATGTGATCAGGTACAAAGTGCCTGTATTAGATCTGAAGCCTTAGGGAGGCTCATTGCTAACCCAAAGGGCTGGATTGTGCTGGTGAAAGACCAGCTCATTCCCATGCTAATGCAGTGACATGCGAGCCCTGCAGAAGCTCCCACAACCTGGATTTTAAAACAATCCCAAAACCTGATCCTACCACCGTCACTTAATAATGGGGCTCCCCGAACACCCCGTGCACACACACAGTCTGAGTCTGCAGAGGAGGAACGCACTGGGACCCTGAGGGTTGCTTTTCTGCCCATGTCTATCAGTAAAAAAAAATTAGCTTAATAACATGGACTTCAATTTGCACTTAGAGGGAAAATCAAGAAGGAAAACAGAAGCAGCCCAAATGTGTAGATGTCCCATCTCTTGCTCCATTCATTTTTATCAAAGCACATTGCCACAGTACTCGAAAGGATGAACCATAGCAGGAAACACCAGCCCTGCTTCTCATCTCCCACGGGCATAAATCACCAGTGACTGCACTGAAGGCAATAATCCTGGTTTATATCATTGTAAATGAGTGGACAATTATGTCTGATGGCTGCTTTAGACCTGCCAAACTGAACTCCTAGGAGAGTTTATCAGACGAGAGCAGAGCAACTTTGTAGTTGTAATTTGTGCCAATTAACTTATGGGATTAGGCATTTATCTGGGTAATGAGAACAGCCCCAATTACATGAGGTCAAAGTTCACACCATCTACAGGAGGTTGAAGTACTGGTGTCCTGCAGATGCTCCTGGACAGGGCATTAGGAAGGTGTTTCGAGAGAGAGATGTGACCCTGTACTTGTCCTCAAGGGGCTTCTCCACACCTCCCCTGCTGCCGCCGGAGCTCGGCTGCTGGCGTAGAAGAGCTAAAGGCAAAACCTCACTGTCCTACATCCCCCCTGTATTCACTTGGCAATAATTATTGTGATTCCCCTTTTAGTAATTTTAAAATCTCATTAATTGATACTCACAATGAAGGTTAGTTGATTTGAGAGATCATTTTGGAAGGAAAATTAAGCTTTTGCATCCCGATTCTTTCCTAAACTCTGCCCTAATCAATTATCTTTTCTCCCATCCTAGGGGAGATTTCCTAACCCGAGCACACCTGCAAAGCCCCTTTAAATGTTTTCTGCAGTGGAAGGGTGGGCAGGGGGGAAACCCCTTTACTTTTGCTTTACAGTGACAATAGGTAAACCAGTGACCACAAGAAGTATTTCAAAACGTAAACGGCCATGCACGCCCCTCTGCTTTTCCCTTCAGCCAGCTTTTGTCTTGAGGGGCACAGCAAACTTGACTCAACATGACTGATGGAAAAGGAGGCCGGGCTCATGCCAGGTCTGCCAGGAAAGGCTTTCTGCAGCCCCTTGTGCTGCTCAGTTTGCCTCAGCATCACCCTGGCAAAAATCCCAGGCCAGGAACAGCTTCCTTGCCCGCTTGGGAGGAAGGGAAAGGGGGCAAGCCTTTGCAGGAGGAATCAGATGAGAAAAGAGAAAAAAATCCGTGCAGCCTTGGAAAAACCTTTGTGCAAGGGAAAAGCCTCGTTCTCCACTAGGCACAGCTTGTTAAGAGAGAGCCTGGTTTAAACACTTTCCTTTATTCACTCCACTTAGGAGATTTGTGCCAAGTTTGGTTTAATTTTATTAATATTGGAGTAATATTATTAATTATTAATAGAAATGTGTGCATTAATTTTTAATATTATATTAATATTGATATTGCAGATATGCTATAGAATAATGATGATATCCCACCAAGCTGTAGGAGTTTCCATGGTTAGTACCAGATTTTGGGTTAGCAGAGAGCCATTTCAGGAAAGGACATCACCACGTACAACGAGTTGCTCTTTAATTTGATTACATGCTCATTAGGAAAGGTGAAACAAGATGGTTTGGGTTTGCGGGTGCACAGCTGGCTGGGCAAGCACCTGTAAGCCTGGGGGGCTGGAGGGAAAGCTCTGATGCTGAGCAGGAGAAAACCCAGCTGAAACTCAGCTTCATCCGCATTCTCCGGCCCACAATCCCCCCTCTGTGAAATTTTATCACTTAAAAAAAAAAAAAAGTGTTACAGAGTGTTTGAGTGAGGGGATGACACATTATAAACTCTGGTTGTGTGGCAAATGGGACTTGGATTTGCATGGGTGCTTACCTAGCAGACAGGTCACCCTAACCACAACCCTGGTTTTATAGGAGGAGTAGCTGAAGCGAGGGTAATTGATGCAGTACTGAAGATTTTCTTGGGGTTTAAGAGGATGGTATGGAGCAGCAACATGTACCTGCATGAAGAATGCTTCGGGTAAGAAACAGAGGGGAGGTTGCTTTTAGTCACTTGTGGGTGGCCTGGAAATGTTAGTCTTATTGTTCTAGCTCAAAAAAATCTTATAGCATGCCTTGTGAAGAGGTATTTTGCTAATTTGCCTCATTAGTGTAATGCACTGTAATGAGGTACGATAACAGCAAGTATGACCACAGAGTGAGGTCTGTGCTGATGCCTCCCCCTGCCCCAGTAGCTCTCTGATTTGTTATTACTGCACAGATGGATGTTCAAAAGAAACAGAAGGTGCTAAGAATCCCTTGATTTAAACAAGATGTCTCAGGAATTTGATCTTGACAATGTGTAGCGTGTTTTCCAGAAGGAATTAGAAAATTACAGGAAGAGAAAAAACTGTGCAAATACAAGAGGATTTTGATAACAGCAAAATCAATGTGCCTTTCTCTATTACATAGATATGAAATGCCAAACCAGCAGGGGTACAGCTGTGAGATTAATCAATAATTCTGAGCACAGGAATGGAGATGAGTTGAATGCACATCAAACATACAGCAAATCACCTGTCACTTCTCAAGGAGAGTCTTGTGCACCGGCAGACCCAGCCCAATGCAGTAGGATATATCTCAATGATTTGGCAGGGCAGATTCCCCCGTATGATCCGGCTGTCTCGGAGGATGACGGTAGTCTTTGGGGCATCCTGCCCGGTCATCCTGGCTGGGAAAGGCTGGATATGAAGGACTGAAGCTGAGTAAGCCTGGTGTGCTGAAGGGAGGGTGGATGGCAGCATGTTTCATGGCAAGGAGTACAGTGCCTGGTAACAGCAAAGTGTGCACGAAAAAGGAGGAATGAGCAATATATAGCATATAGCACACTTGTAAACACCCCTATGGCAGGGGTTTCCCAAAGGTCTGAGTGTAAGGCAGCTCAGTACAGGACGGGGGGAGGAAACGAATGCATGCACAATGTAAAAATGATAGAAAGTCTCCTCTGCAAACCCCAGTTTGCCTGGGAAACTGGGTACATGTTAATTGTGTGCCAGG